GAGATACTATGCATCAACAATCTAAGACTTATTTTTTTCCATAATATAAAGATTAAAACAAAAAGAAAATTGCAATTTTCTAACCCAACACAACATATGGGGAAGCAACAATATAACATGTGAAAAGCAAACTATATCATAATGAGGGAAGAGATTAGTGTCAAAAAACATACAAATTACACAAATCAGAGATGACCAATGCCTCCCTCTTCTGAAATCTCATTGTACCTATAGTACAGTGAGATTATATTGCTACTTATTTTAGACTCTCAATTTCTTGAGGGTAGAAACAATGTCTTATTTATCTTTATATTCTCCTCTAGTTCCAATCCAACACCTTGCAAATAATAGGCACTAAAAAAGAATTAGCAGAAAAAGGAGTAAATACATGTCCAGCATTTAGTGAAAAGTGGGATTACATCTCAAATGATATCTCAAGTTAAAAGTATATTCTTCTTAGCCTGGAAATGCAAGTCTAGTTCAGCATGAAGCAGATACTGGAAGAGGTGAAGTTAATACAAAGGAATTTTATTTTTTAAAGATCAGAGGAGATCCTGATATGCAGTAGAAGCTATAATATGACATATAAGGGTCTGCAAATAATCCTGCAATGATAATGTTGCCGGGCGCAACATTACACAGTGTTGGTTAACATTTTAGATTATTTGATCCAAACATGCTTTGCAAATTTCTGAATGGTTTTGCATAAGAATGAAAAGGGACAGAAATGTAAAGACAATGAGAAAGATGTCTCTAGTGAAAAACACACTCAAATATACAGGAAAAATATTGCTAATAAAAATTTTGTAATTATTAGGAAGAATTCTTCAAAAAGTTAACCACCAAGGATAGCTATGAAGTATAACGTTATGTATCTTTAAAAGTAGCTTATTCCAAAATCAGACCAGTATTTTTTCCACAAATAATAAAAAATGCTACCCTAATGATGAAAAGTCAAGATATAACACAATTTTATCTCTTTCCCATATTATTCCAGTCTCTGAACAGCTACTTCTCCTCAATGAATACCATTAGAGGTAGGTAATAGCAAACAGGAAAAGGTTCTTTTATTTAGATTTCTCCCTCCAAAGATGAATTAAATTATGATGAGAAGGACCATCTCTAAGCGTATCCACTAAGAGCTCATCAGGGGACAACACAGATGTGAGTGACCTGTACTTTTCTTTCCGCATTTCACAAATGTTTTAGTTCTGCTAAACAGTATTACAAAGAATTTTAATTTAACTCATATATAGCTTTTTATTTATGTAAAATTTTTGTAAGTATGTACTTCAAAATCCTGAAACAAACTATAAGCCCTTAGAAGGATGCAACATATAAAAAGCTTTCAAGTATTAGACTGATGCATTTCGTGTTTGAGGGGGAGGTTAAAAGTGAAG